TCACAGCAGGTACAATAGTTGAACTTTCATTTTGCAAAAAAGCCCAACTCAAACAACAAGTGAGAAAATATGCAAGATCAGTGATAAATTCATAGTGGATGACGATCTTAAATCAGGCTGTGTGCGGAGGAGGCTGTGTGGGGAGGGGGCTGCAGCCATGACGGGAAAGAACAGGGATTTTGCAGCATGATTAAAGAAAGTGACACCAGCATCAATTTGGACATTCTGTATGATTCATCACCAAGCTTTGGCATTGAAGAATTTGCAGACTGAAGTATATAAGGCTCTCAATATGGTTATTAAAATTGTTAATTTTATAAAATCCTGGGCAGTGATCACCAGGGATCCTAGACATCCGTCTGCCATGGAAAAACATAGAATTTGCATTTTTTGCAGAGAATCTTTAGTTTTTACATTTTGTGAAAAAATAAAAACATATACAGTAGTACCTCATTTAGCTGAGCCGCCATTATCCAGCTCTCCATATTAAACACCCTGGGGCTGATGGCGGGAGCCCTGCTATCCCGGGGCTCAGCTGTCAGCCCCAGCTTGGTTAATACGGAGAGCCAGATAATGGAGGCTCAGACAAACAGAGTTCTACTGTATCAATAACATTGTGTTCAACTGATACCTATATATATTGTGGCTAGGGAAACTGAAATTCAATATTTAATTTTAATCACAGAAAAAACATGGATTTTTATGTTTCTTATGGAGATTTTTTTTAAAAAAATCACAGAAAACTAGAGTGTTTGGTGATCACACACTCTTTTAGTATGTTTTGTGAACAGATGGGCACTGACCACATTCAAGTTTTGTTTCATAGCAAAGTCAGGTGGTTTTGAATTGTGTGATGAAATCAGAATTTTCCTCCTTGGGGAAAACAGACCTTGCAGATTACATATGTAATTGGACTTTTTTATTACATTGGGTTAGCCAGTGGACATATTAGCAAATTGAATGCACTGAACCTAACACTTCAAGGTAGGCATGCAAATATACTAAATATGAAAGAGAAAATCTGGGGATTAATGAAGAAAGTTTGTCTTTGAAGATGCCACATTGAAAAGGGAGTTAGCGAGAGGTTTCCAATATTATCAGACTTTTAAAAAGAACAAAGTGAAAGTAATCGAAATGGAATTAACGACCCAATATTAACTCATTTGTCTGGACTGTATTCCCACTTTGATGAATATTTTCCTGAAGTTGAACACTACTCTCCAGATCGATTGCATTTGAAAGCCATTCTTGGTAACGGCTGACTCACTTCTAACCTTAGATATCTCAGCTCAAGAAAATCACTTAGAATTGTCAAGTGTTAAAAACTGTCGTCAAATTTTCAAATCTGACAAATCAGGATTTGACAAATTTGACAAATTCTGGATTTCTGTTAGGGGAGAGTACAAAGAACTCAGTGATAAAGCTATGAAAGTGCTGCTTCTGTTTGGTTTAAGTTATTTCTGTGTGTCTGCGTTTTCAGCAGTTGTTTCCAGGAAAACTAAACACAGAAATCATTTAAACTTGGAAAACAACTAATACCTGGCACTATCAGAGATTCAACCAAGCATTGCGCAACTATGCAGTTCAGAACAGCCTGTTTTTTCCACTAAAATGTTAGGCTCTGTCCAAAGACACCAAGAAAAAAAACCTCCATAGTTTCAAATTATAGGTTTAAAAACCCAGATTAGATTAGATTATATAATTAAACAAACTGTGTATAGTTAAAGTCACAAACACCATCCAAACTCTAGAGTCCATCTTGATTCTAGTATCCTGTGTCAGGAAAAAAAAAGAAAGAAAAACAAAAGGCACTTGATATAGGGAGCCACCAAATTTTAAAATATCTGTAAGGGTACTGCAGTACTAAAAAGTTTGTGGACCATAGCTGTAGACCATCTTTAAAACTCTCTTTTATATCTTCCTTTTCTGTCAGAACACATGTATGTATGCAGTTCGTTTCCAAAGAAATGCTTCTGTAAGCTTCTGTAACCCTTCTCTAAACAGAGAGACCTCACACATCATAAACAGCTCAAATTTATCCCTTTCTGCAGTTTGCCTTTTTTGGTACCTTAATGGGGAAAAAATGAAACAAACTTCAGTCTCTGTTATTAAATCCATCCATTCTAACTCTGTGTCCCAAATAAGCTAATTCTATCAAATCAAGGTTACACTTTTTCTTTCACGGTTAGCAAAGCCATTTTTATGAGAAGCATCACTGCTGCATGTGGAAGAGATGCTCTGCCCATGTTAGGCTGGCTAAAGAAACATCATCTATATATACATACTAGGCTAATTCACCAATATCCTCTAACACCCAATATATGAAACACTTAAAGGTTATCAGTTTCTCTCTTTCAACATCAGCAGTGCGCAAGGCTACTGCTGTAAGGGACTAGCTGGCATATTTCACTAGCACCAGGATATACCTCTTGCCTTTTTGTCTGCCTATATAGTAGACTCAAAATATCCATCATGACCCTTTGATATTGTTCTTCTGTTATAGGAAGTGGACTTAACCGAACTTTGCAGTTCTCTTCTGTTTCTCTACCTGCTAGCACCCATAACAGGGCTTACAGTATAATTTTACGCTTCATGTACATCAGGCCACTAAAAGTTTGGGATTAGCTTATCTCTTGGTCCATTAAGTGTCTAACTAAGTAAATATAATGGGTGATGCACAGTAGTTTGGACTGGTACCTTTGAGAGGACTAATTGCCTGCTTGTTTCCTAAACTTTAATATTCCCCATGGGAACCCACCCCCTTTAGAGAGGATTATTCACTTGTGAATAGCTCTCTTTGCTTCTGTGAGAGCTGCACAGACTCTAGTTATCTGATGAACAGTGCATCTGTTGTTCTGGTCATGGCCTCTTAGGCCACTCTGGAGACAGTATTAGGTAAGTCAAATCCCTCTCAATGGCTCCATCCAGTCTACAGGAATATTTGGAGCGGACATTTCCTCTGTCTCAGGATCAGCCACAATTCAGAATTTTGTTGACAAGAATCTGCTTTATTAACTGCTTCTGTGCCAGAGGTTAACTCAGTCACAGGTTCTGTGTTTGTTGGGGCTGCCTTTTGAGCTTGATGCTGAGTGACAATTAGACAGTTTTGTCCTTGTGACTGTCAATGTTCCTTCCCCACTCTGAACGCGAGGGTACAGATGTGGGACCTGCATGAAAAACCTCCTAAGCTTATCTTTACCAGCTTAGGTCAAAACTTCCCCAAGGTACAAAATATTCCACCCTTTGTCCTTGGATTGGCCGCTACCACCACCAAACAAATACTGGTTACTGGGGAAGAGCTGTTTAGAAACGTCTTTTCCCCCAAAATACTTCCCAAAACCTTGCACCCCACTTCCTGGACAAGGTTTGGTAAAAAGCCTCATCAATTTGCCTAGGTGACTACAGACCCAGACCCTTGGATCTTAAGAACAATGAACAATCCTCCCAACACTTGCACCCCCCCGTTTCCTGGGAAATGTTGGATAAAAAGCCTCACCAATTTGCATAGTTGACCACAGACCCAAACCCTTGGATCTTAGAACAATGAAAAAGCATTCAGTTTTCTTACAAGAAGACTTTTAATAGAAATAGAAGTAAATAGAAGTAAAGAAATCACCTCTGTAAAATCAGGATGGTAGATCCCTTACAGGGTAATTAGATTCAAAACATAGAGAATCCCTCTAGGCAAAACCTTAAATTACAAAAAAGATACACAGACAGAAATAGTTATTCTATTCAGCACAATTCTTTTCTCAGCCATTTAAAGAAATCATAATCTAACACATACCTAGCTAGATTACTTACTAAAAGTTCTAAGACTCCATTCCTGGTCTATCCCCGGCAGAAACAGCATATAGACAGCCACACAGACCCCTTTGTTTCTCTCCCTCCTCCCAGCTTTTTAAAGTATCTTGTCTCCTCATTGGTCATTTTGGTCAGGTGCCAGCGAGGTTACCTTTAGCTTCTTAACCCTTTACAGGTGAGAGGAGCTTTCCCCTGGCCAGGAGGGATTTCAAAGGGGTTTACCCTTCCCTTTATAATTATGACAGTGACCAATTTCATTCTCCGTAACATCCCTCCTGGAAACTCAATGTGAAGACCTAGGGCCCTTCAGTTTAAGAAAGTTTTAACACAGGGGTTCCCAGACTCTGAACCGTTGTTGGCTTGCAGAGCACTTTCTGGTGGTCCACACAGTGAGGTGGCTGGTCACAAGGTGCTGGCACCTCCTTATTTCCAGCTGCTAATGCATATCGCAATCTAGCTACAAACACTTTTAAAAATTAAAGATACTTTTAATACTACTATTTTTCCAGGTAAGCAATTGCCGCAGTGGCCATAGGACTATCATGTGACATAAAATGGAAGGAGAAATGAGGCACAGCACAGTGAACAGGAGGGGAGGTATAATCAGAGACTCACTCTATTGAAATTGAGCCACACTGTGGAGGAGTTTGAGAACCTCTGACATATGCTATTGATATTGCAAAGGAGAGGACAGCATGGAACAAACATAACACAGAGGAGAGACAGCAGTGATAACTATGGAGGCAACAGAAGTGGGAGCCTGTGGAGGGCCTGGATCAATGATTCCAATCCATGTATTAAAAGAAAGGCAAATTTTGAATTATGAGGTTATAATCCTCTCAGAGTTTATGGTATCACCACACCCAGCAATAGACTTATAGCCCTATAATTCACATTTGTCTGTTACAGCACTTATTCTGGATATATTTTCTTCAAACCCAGAGATTGTCATTTTCTAAAGTTCTTCTCGTCACTACCACAACTGCCAGTGATGAATAATCTCCAGGAGTTATGCAGTGTTGAACATGCAGGTCTATCATAACTGCAAATCTAGCTCTTGATCATGCAATCAGATCTGTGCAGGGAGGATAGGGTCTGCGAACGCTGAGCAGATTGCAGGCTTGGACCAAATTTGAATGAAACAGTAATACAATTGACTAGCCTTGGATATGACTTTCTTTTTTTAATTGAAACAGAATAAAAAAAGAACTGGAAATTTACAAAGAAGATGACTTGGAAAATGTTTGTGAAGCTCTTCAAACAGAAATTGAATTTCTGCAGATGGTATGCTATTTTTATTGAGCGCTCCTAATTTCCATTAATTTTAGGCCCACCATTTGCAAACTGCCAAGAGCCCCATTTTTCACTGAAAAGGGAAAGTCAGAAAAAAATTACCTGTTAAGATTGAGAAATTTTCAGCAAAAGATGCAGGGATTTAGTTGTAGGGCCACCATTAATATTAGCCTCTTGAATGCTGAACAGACCATGCAGGATGAGCTACATTGATCCTAGAGAGCAACCTTTATTTAAATAGACATGTTGCAATTGGGCCACAGAGGAGGACAACTCTCATGTACTTACTGAATGTTGTAAACTCATAGGGTTCTTTATGGAAACTGACTAGAGAAGACTGCATATTTTCTTCTAAATATCAACCTTTTCTTCAATTTTCATAACTGTTAGTTTGTGTTACATTAGCTTTATTTATTCAGCACTTGTGAATTTATGAATTTTACTACTCTTAATATTAGTTTTTTAAAAGTAGGGGACAAACACATTGCAGGTAAATACTTTAAGGGTCTCATTTTCAGGAGTGAAGGGGTTTTGGTTGATGTATTTTGGAGTCTGGTCTAGCTACTGTTTGATGATACAACTGCCACTAGGGGGAAAAAATGTGGCATCAGTGACAGGATATGGTTTATTTGGATGTATGTACATTGGTTTTAATGAACAGTAAAAATGTTTGTGCCAGAGTAGTTTATTGCATAACGCTTTATTTGGAAGGATGGTAACCTTGAACCTCATTCATTAACTTTATCATGAGCAAGTAAAACAAAGTTTTGTAAAATGCAAACTTCTACTTTTTTGATTTCTCAGAGGTCTAAAACAGATCTAAAATGTACACTCTCAAGCAAGGCCGGGAATAATGATGCTGGCAGATGCTCATATACTATGATGACAGGGGCCACATAAATACACAGAGTGAGATTAAACTCTCAAAATGAGATGCCTAACGGAAATGCTCAACTTTAAATATAGCAATGTAGCTATACTAATCTTAAAGCTGATTGAGGTGGTTTGGGAACGTTACATACTTCACTATGTATAGGATGTTGTATATGATGTGTAAACAAAATAAATTTCATTTGGTATCCTGGTACATTACATATGATACAAAGAAATTCAGTCTTCTTAAAATTCAAGGGCTAGATTTTGGCATTAGGCCACTGTGGGTATGTCTTCACTGAAGTTAAACATCTGTGGCTGTCCCGCATCAGCTGGCTACAGAGCTGTTTAATTACAGTGTATATGTTAGGCTTGGGTTGGAGCCTGGACTCTGGGACCCCATTAGGGGACATCCTTCTGGGATGCCGTAGCCCAAGCCAGTTGACACAGGACAGCCACAGGTGTTTAATTGCTATGTAGACATACCCATGTGTTGGGGACAAGGGAACAGGAGCTGTGCAAAAACAATAGTTCGCAAAAAGAAAAGGAGTACTTGTGGCACCTTAGAGACTAACCAATTTATTTGAGCATAAGCTTTTGTGAGCTACAGCTCACTTCATCGGATGCATCGAATGCTCAAATAAATTGGTTAGTCTCTAAGGTGCCACAAGCACTCCTTTTCTTTTTGCAAACACAGACTAACACGGCTGATACTCTGAAAATAGTTCCCAAAGGTATTGTACCCAAGATAGGCATGTTGTTTTTGACTCCTGTGAAAGAGTACACACAGCAACAATATCTAGTATACCTCTTTAAAGAGAGTGGTGAATACTCCTGGCCACATACTAACCCAAGTCAGCTGACATATGGTGGAGGTTGTGACCATGTCCTTGCCCTTTTAAGTTATTTATAAAGAATAGTCTCACAATTAGGATTTGTTTCATATATTTCAAATTAACATGCATGTATCTTTCTTTTTTGCAGAAATTATCACAAAAGTCTTCAGGCAAATAAATAATTTACAGAAGATTGATTTAAATGTCACAGAAACCAGTCTTTGCAGTACTTTAGCTACACACATTTTAGTAAGCCTTTGTTGTTACGCTATCACCCTTCATATTTCTTGTTGGGAAAACAAAGATTCTCCTTTTGCTGTTTATTAATGTGGGCATTTGGTTACTTCAAAAATAATATTTTTCCTGTTTTGGCAGTGATCCCATTCTCATATTCAACAGGCATCCCTGCCTAGGCTGTTCCTTTACCATCTCTGAATATGGCACACAAGCCAGTACAGATACAGTAGAGTCCATAACTAACTCCATTCTGAGTGTACCATTTTCCCTGTGTATCCACTTTCATCATATTCCTCCTCTTACTAGAAAAGGTAATAGCCTGGGTCTCCTCTAAGACAGACACTTATGCTGCCAGCAGGAGATATTTACATGCCATATGGTTATTTATACCTTAAAAGCTCAATTGTGCAAGCTTCATAAAGCAGGCCATAACCCAGAAGTACAAAGATGAAAGTACAAAATAACTTCTATAGAGTGGCAGCAATCACAAAGCCACTCTGCTAGTAGGTACATGTTTTCTAATCCACCCCCCCACCATCACTACCTTAATTCTCATCAGTTAACATTACAGACTAAATCCTATTTTCATATATAAGTATAAGTAACTGGGCTGTTTGATGAGGATTTCCTTGGGGTTTAAGTTTAAGAAATCCTCCCCCACCCAATGCTGTATGATCCATGATTGCCACTTCAGCCTCAGGGCTGCAGGTCCATTGCCCAGGGTACTCCACAGATGTGGAGGAATCCAGGGGAGTGATGGGGAGGGTGGATCTATTTGTCCCCAGTGAAATACTGTATCCAAGCTCCACAACCCATATTTTCTTACAGTTTTTGAAAATTGACCCCCCCCCTTGTGTCTGAGATGGAGGGAGAGAGTTTGATAGCAGTTTTGTCCGTGTATGGATTGCAGAATTGGTCCCAAAACATATTCTAAAACCACTTAGTCATATAAAATAGGAATTATTACCATTACCAATAACTATTGCTGTTAAAGTTGATGATGACAGTTGACTTCACAATTAATATTAAAGTGTTTTTTCATGGGAATCCTTTTAGGCCTTGATTCAGCACAACACTTAAGTATAAGCTTAACTTTAAGCATATCAGTAGTCGCAGTGACTTCAATAAAACTAGTTGCCTATTTAAAGTTACGCGAGTGCTCCAGTCCTTTGCTGAACTGAGTCAAATTAAGAGGTGTTGTATAAGGAGATATAAGTTATGTCAGAGAACCTCAAGGTGGCTAAAATGGTGTAATTTACATGGTATGGAACTGGAAGAAAGTGAAAATTACATAAATCTGGGCCTTCTCTGTACTGGGATTAGGATTTTCCTGCCTTGTTTATTCAGATAATGTCATTGTCATTGATTGTACTAGCCATGAGAATCAACTGACTAGGATTTGACTCCTAAGCTGGTGAAAACCTGTTATTAATATTCAATCTCAGTATGCATGTGTTTAAATTGTTCATTTACAAGTGTTCCTTGTGTCTTTTTTCCAATGGTATTATTTACGGGTAGCTATTCAGCCCAAACATGTAAAGTATACATGTAATAGATGTTAAATAAAAAAAGTATTTGAATAGCGTATGAATAAAATTCAAATGAGTGATATGAGCAGTATTATCCAATTAAAAATATTAGCAAAAGTTGGATTTTTTGTCTACATGAACCTGAGGAGAACATGGTGAGGCCTTTAGTGCCAATGCTAACTAAAGAAAAGCTGAGGTGAGGATTTCCTAGTTTGACAGCAAGGTCTAACATGATAAATAATTTTGCTGTTAGTTCAGCTAAAGACAATTAGAGATACAGACAACTATTTTACAGCCTTTACTCAGGCAAAACACTTCAGGGTGTTTTCCCTTAGAAATGACTGTAGGATTACGCATTTAAAAGACATTTAGTATCCCCATTTCCCCCAGATGACAATGGAATAAACAAAAAAAATCACAGCCAAAAGAGAGAGTCAACAACAGAGGCTCCTAATCTTGTGTCCATTGAAGTAGATGGTGATACAGTAGTATAATTGACTACACTGAGTGCAGGATCAGGTAGGTCTAATCCAGGGGTTCTCAAACTGGGGGTCAGGACCCCTCAGGGTGGGTGCGAGGTTATTATATGGGGAGGTCGCAAGCTGTCAGCCTCCACCCCAAACTCTGCTTTGCATCCAGTTATACATAATGGTGTTAAATATATTTAAAAGTGTTTTTAATTTATAAGGGGGGGGCTGTCATACTCACAGGCTTGCTATGTGAAAAGGGTCACCAGTACAAAAGTTAGAGAGCCACTGGTCTAATCATTCATGGCAAGTGTGAAGAGGTACACTCACCACGGGTAGCACCTCCTATCTCTACATTTGGAGATCAGCTTTTACCAACTCTGGCCTCCCCCTTCTGTCGGTTACTCATGCTGTGACTCCCCCCACAACTCGGAACGCTCCCTCTTCCTGACTCGGCCCTCTGGCCCTCTGGCCAGGCCACTGTGGGTATGTCTACACAGTAATTACAAATCCGCAGCTGGCCCTGTAGACCTTTGGGCTTGGGCTGGAGCCTAGACTCTAGGACCCTGTGAGATGGTAGGGCCCCAGAGCTAGGGCTACAGCCTGAGCCCAAAAAGAAAAGGAGTACTTGTGGCACAAGCATCTCAGGCAGGGCAGAAAAGGTGGGGGAGTAGCACTGAATGTAAGGGAGCAGTATGACTGCTCAGAGCTCCGGTACGAAACTGCAGAAAAACCTGAGTGTCTCTGGATTAAGTTTAGAAGTGTGTGCAACAAGAGTGATGTAGTGGTGGGAGTCTGCTATAGACCACCGGACCAGGGGGATGAGGTAGATGAGGCTTTCTTCCGGCAGCTCACGGAAGCTACTAGATCGCATGCCCTGATTCTCATGGGTGACTTTAATTTTCCTGATATCTGCTGGGAGAGCAATACAGCGGTGCATAGACAATCCAGGAAGTTTTTGGAAAGCGTAGGGGACAATTTCCTGGTGCAAGTGCTAGAGGAGCCAACTGGGGGGGTGCTTTTCTTGACCTGCTGCTCACAAACCAGGTAGAATTAGTGGGGGAAGCAAAAGTGGATGGGAATCTGGGAGGCAGTGACCATGAGTTGGTTGAGTTCAGGATCCTGACGCAGGGAAGAAAGGTAAGCAGCAGGATACGAACCCTGGACTTCAGGAAAGCAGACTTCAACTCCCTCAGGGAACAGATGGCCAGGATCCCCTGGGGGACTAACTTGAAGGGGAAAGGAGTCCAGGAGAGCTGGCTGTATTTCAAGGAATCCCTGTTGAGGTTACAGGGACAAACCATCCCGATGAGTCGAAAGAATAGTAAATATGGCAGGCGACCAGCTTGGCTTAATGGTGAAATCCTAGCGGATCTTAAACATAAAAAAGAGGCTTACAAGAAGTGGAAGATTGGACATATGACCAGGGAAGAGTATAAAAATATTGCTCGGGCATGTAGGAATGATATCAGGAGGGCCAAATCGCACCTGGAGCTGCAGCTAGCCAGAGATGTCAAGAGTAACAAGAAGGGTTTCTTCAGGTATGTTGGCAACAAGAAGAAAGCCAAGGAACGTGTGGGCCCCTTACTGAATGAGGGAGGCAACCTAGTGACAGAGGATGTGGAAAAAGCTAATGTACTCAATGCTTTTTTTGCCTCTGTTTTCACTAACAAGGTCAGCTCCCAGACTGCTGCGCTGGGCATCGCAAAATGGGGAAGAGATGGCCAGCCCTCTGTGGAGATAGAGGTGGTTAGGGACTATTTAGAAAAGCTGGACGTGCACAAGTCCATGGGGCCGGACGAGTTGCATCCGAGAGTCCTGAAGGAATTGGCGGCTGTGATTGCAGAGCCATTGGCCATTATCTTTGAAAACTCGTGGCGAACGGGGGAAGTCCCGGATGACTGGAAAAAGGCTAATGTAGTGCCAATCTTTAAAAAAGGGAAGAAGGAGGATCCTGGGAACTACAGGCCAGTCAGCCTCACCTCAGTCCCTGGAAAAATCATGGAGCAGGTCCTCAAAGAATCAATCCTGAAGCACTTGCATGAGAGGAAAGTGATCAGGAACAGCCAGCATGGATTCACCAAGGGAAGGTCATGCCTGACTAATCTAATCGCCTTTTATGATGAGATTACTGGTTCTGTGGATGAAGGGAAAGCAGTGGATGTATTGTTTCTTGACTTTAGCAAAGCTTTTGACACGGTCTCCCACAGTATTCTTGTCAGCAAGTTAAGGAAGTATGGGCTGGAAGAATGCACTATAAGGTGGGTAGAAAGCTGGCTAGATTGTCGGGCTCAACGGGTAGTTATCAATGGTTCCATGTCTAGTTGGCAGCCGGTATCAAGTGGAGTGCCCCAAGGGTCGGTCCTGGGGCCAGTTTTGTTCAATATCTTCATAAATGATCTGGAGGATGGTGTGGATTGCACTCTCAGCAAATTTGCGGATGATACTAAACTGGGAGGAGTGGTAGATACGCTGGAGGGGAGGGATAGGATACAGAAGGACCTAGACAAATTGGAGGATTGGGCCAAAAGAAATCTGATGAGGTTCAATAAGGATAAGTGCAGGGTCCTGCACTTAGGACGGAAGAACCCAATGCACAGCTACAGACTAGGGACCGAATGGCTAGGCAGCAGTTCTGCGGAAAAGGACCTAGGGGTGACAGTGGACGAGAAGCTGGATATGAGTCAGCAGTGTGCCCTTGTTGCCAAGAAGGCCAATGGCATTTTGGGATGTATAAGTAGGGGCATAGCGAGCAGATCGAGGGACGTGATCGTTCCCCTCTATTCGACATTGGTGAGGCCTCATCTGGAGTACTGTGTCCAGTTTTGGGCCCCACACTTCAAGAAGGATGTGGATAAATTGGAGAGAGTCCAGCGAAGGGCAACAAAAATTATTAGGGGTCTGGAACACATGAGTTATGAGGAGAGGCTGAGGGAGCTGGGATT